TGGATCTGAATTCTAGGTCCATTATGCTTGTACAGAAAGCACTTTATCCACTGATTTCTCTGCTCAGTCTCATAGATTTAAAGTTTCAAAAAGAAAGGCTATTTACGGAATTGGTGACAGGTGCATTGGCACACACCTGTAACCCTAGCACTGGGAAGGTAAAGGCAGAAGGAACCTTGACCATAGACTAAGTTCCAGGCCAACCTGTGCTACCCTAGACCCTTTCTCACAAAGACAAAAACAAAACTAAAAATACCCCAAACCCGAAACAACAACCAAAGTGGAAGTTTTGGTAAAGGATAACCAAATTCAAGCTGTTTAGAGTGACAGAAACTAGCCATGGGAGGTTTACAGCAGAAGTCAAAGTGTGGTGGGAATTTTGGTTTCTTTAAAAACCTAGTTGTGTTATGTGAATGTGTTTTTGCTTTAATCCCAGGTGTGGGATATGGGGCTGCTTTAGATTGTCCACAACAGCTGATAGCTATGATTTACCTCGTGCTCTTGGAGTGGTGTGATTTTTACCAGCTACAGATAGTTTACAGATAGTTTTGAATTCTGGGGACTCTTGAGTGGGTATAAATTCAAGAGCCCTGAGAGGGTTTCTGGTGGCTGTTGCTCCCTATGCTGCTGCTGTTTGTCATGTAGTTGTGAGTAAAGACACAAGAAGAAGAAATTGGATATTGCCCATAGGGACTCAACGCCCCTAACCATCAGGAAATAATCTAAAAAGGTGTAAGCCCCTTTTCCCCTCTAACTTTCTTTCTTTCCTACCTAGTGTTGGGGGAGGGGATTAGGGTGGAATAAGGTTGGAAAGGTGGTAGATGTAAGAACTCAGTAATATAGCCAAAATAATAATAATAATAATAATAATAATAATAATAATAATAATTACACCTACAGCAGAGAATGATTTTTACCAAAGTCTTCAACTTATTTTGAAATGTCTTTAAATTGAACATAGCAAAGCACATGGCCCCTTTGGGCTCTCTGTGCTCACAGCCCCTGGCAGACGGTGTTGTCTGTTCCCTACAGCTTGATTAGATATGGAAAACCCCAAATCTATCAGAAAAAAACCTCAGCTTCAACCAGAAGGAGCACTTTTAAAAGAGTCTTTTAATTTTTTAATTTATTTTTATTTTATGTGTGAGTGCCCCACGTGTATGCCTTGTTTCCAAAGAAAGCCAGAAGATGGCATCTGTCAGTACTGGGAATTGAACCTGAGTCCTCTAGAAGAGTAGCCAGTGATCCAAACTGCTAAATCATCTCTGGGACCTTTTTAAAGACTCAATGAAAACCTTTGAGACACTTAGCATCCTTCATTGTTCAAGTGTTCTGTGTTTCAGCATATTCTGGAAACAGCATCTGCAAGAAAACTATAGGGGTCAAGAAGAGTGGGCCCTGCCACTTTAATATTTTGTATTAGAAAAACACATGTGAAGCCAGGCATGGTGGTACATGACTTTAATCCCAGCACTCAAGAGGCAGAAGCAGGTAGATCTCTGAGTTTGAAGTCAGAGATCTGTAGGTCTGCAGAGAGGGAGAGAGTTCCAGGGTAGCAAGGCCTACACAGAGAAACCCAGTCTCAAAAAAACCAAAACAAAAATCAAAAAAGAAAAACATTTGTGCTCAAAATTGTAAGAGGCAAACTGTATGCATATGTTACTATTAGTTAGACATGTATACACTGTTAATGTTTTATTTGTCTTGTGTTTACCTCTCCTAGCCCTGATGGCCCCTGAGGAGTACAAAGCTGACACTACTAGACACTAATGAACTCTTAGCATTTTAAAGTCTGAGCTCAGACATCCATGGAATGGGGCAAGACTACAAGGGATAATGAGAGAGACACAAACATTGGACATCACAAGTCTCAGACTGTGGCTGGCCATCTGACCAGAGAGGCCAAGACTGAACCCCAAAGTAACTGACTGCCTTGTGCTATCCCCTCCTGAACCACAAACACTCTTTCCCACCTCCCCATCCCTGTAAAACTACACTGGCTGCTGCTGGCTGGAGATAAGATGTGAGAGGTGTAAGACAGAAAGGTGTGTATGTGTACTTGTCCACACACACACAAGCTCATGCATGTGTGCATGTGAGCAATGAGGGTAACGTCTTCCTTGTTGGGCAGGGTCTCACTTAACATAGAGCTCATTAGTTTGGCTAACCAGCTTACTCTGGGGACCCGTGATGGATGCCTCCAGAGTGTTGGGACTGCAGCAAGAGGCTGCCACACCTGCCTGGTTTTATGTGAGTTTAGGGTTCCAACTCCAGTGCTTATACTTGCACTGCTAGCTCTTTAACCACTGGGGCAACTCCCCAGCCCCAGGTTTTTGCTGTTATATATTTGATTTTGTTAAAAAAAAAAAATGTTAACCTGCTAGAGGCTGGAGAGATGGCTCAGCAGTTAAGAGTACTGGCTTGTTAAGGTTATTTTTACAAAGCTGTGTCTTTCAGTTTCTCTGTTAACCCAGCTGTCACACAAATAGTTGGGACTCTTTTATGTTTGTTTAATAATAAGCTTCAGAACACAATAACTGAGCAGTTATTACTCTATTCTTAACCCTCTAAGCCAATTTGGCTTCCTCTCAGCGTACATGCCAGCCACACTTGCAGTTTGTAGCTTTCCTGATCCAGTTCCTTCTCCTAATGTCCCCAGATCCCTTCCTATGGCTGAATCCCCTACTTCCTCCTCTAACTCTTCCTCCCCTGCCTGGCAGGAAGTCCAGCCCTATTCTCTCTCTTGCTCAGCAATTGGCTGTAAACTGCTTTATTGGCATATCAGGGGACAACTGGAGAGCAGTGTTTACACAACATTGAGACAGGAGTTGGTCAGAACGAGGACTGCAGCCAGATGAGGGTACCGAAATCAGCATTTGAATTACACAGTAACCTTATGCCTACAGTGTGCTGTGTAGCCTGTGATCTTTTTTCTGAGTGTATGTGTGCCAGCAAAGGCCAGTAGAGGGCATTGGATCTGCTGGAGCTGGAGTTACAGGAGGTTGTGACCCTCCCCCCAACACACTTGACCCCCTCATATGGGTGCCAGGAACCAGACTGGTCCTCTGAAAGAAAGAGTGTGTGCTATTAACCACTGGGCCATGTCATCAGCCCATGATTTTTTAAAAGTCATTATTCCTTGGTTTTCTAGCAGCTTGTAAGCCAATGTAATGTGTCATAGTCAGAGTTCTATTGCTGTGAAGAGACACCATGACCACCACAACTCATGTAAAGAAAACCATTTCACTGGGGCTGGCTTTTAGTTCAGAGGTTTAATCCATTATCATCATTGCAGGAAACATGGCAGGATGCAGGCAGGCATGGTCCTGGAGAAGGAGCTGAGAGTTCTACAACCACATTGCAAGCAGGAGGAAGAGAGTGAACACTGGGTCTGGAGCAAAGAAAGCTACAAAGTGCAAGTGTGGCTGGGATGTAAGCTGGGAGGAAAGCAGATTAACGTAGAGGGTTAAGAATAGAGTAATAACTGCTCAGTTATTGTGTTCTGAAGCTTACTATTAAAACAAATATAAAAGAGTCCCAATTATTTGTGTGACAGCTGGGTTAAGAGAGAAACTGAGAGAGACACAGCTTTGTAAAAATAACTTTAACAAGCCAGCACTTTTAACTGCTGAGCCATCTCTCCAGCCTCTAGCAGGTTAACCTGTTTTTTTTTTTTTTTTTGTTTTTTTTTTTTTTTTTTTTAATCTAATCCACAAGAACAAAAACTTGGGGCTGGGGAGTTCCTCAGTGGTTAAAGAGCTAGCAGTGCAAGTGTAAACACTGGAGTTGTTAGAACAATAATATGCCTTCCCTGTGAGAATTCACTACACACCCTTGAGAATAGAAAAGAAAAGGTGGGCTGGAGAGTTGGCTCAGTGGTTAAGAGCACTTCCTGTTGCATAGGACCCACTCCCATGCTCGCCACTTCCTCTGGCACCGAGCACAAATGTGGTGCACAGATAGACATCCAGACCAAACACTCTAAAAACAAACACTCTAAAAAAATAAAATAACAGCAATATCGACAATAGGCTCTGGTTAATGTACAAAGAGACACCGGGCACAAATAGAAGGTGTTACTAACTTATTTACACTGAAGGCTTAGCATTCTGTCATCCTTGAGTCTCTCTCCGTCCCAGCTCCAGGGTACACTTTGAACAATGTAAACAGAGACAAGAGACTGAAAGTGGGCCAGCTTGAGCAGCTGGGAGATTTATGCAGCAAATATAGTGCCAGAATTCCTTTTTAATTACATCAGTGTTGTTCTTTTTGAATGTCTGCTACCCAGGTTATCTTGCCCACCTGTAGAATTAAGCCTTTCCTGCTCAGAGTTCAGGGGACCTCAGGGCAGATCAGGTTGTAACCTTTCCATGTTCCCTCCCCCAGCTACTTACAAGCCTGTCCTTTGATGTGTGGATGAAACTAATGACTCACTTGAGTCAGGGTTGTCTCCCGTTGTTATGGTAATGAGCCTAATTGGGAATCAGTCTTGGTGAACAATAGCAGAAACTTTCTCAGCAACCCTAAACTATTCAGCAATAACTCAGCAATTATAGTACAGATTTTTCTTCTTTTTTTTTTTTGAGAGTGTATAACAAACCTGGTTATACACTGCTTACCTTCCCGTCATATTGGAGGGTGTGCTCCTTTAACACTTTGTGCAACTCAATATTTCTTAAGCAAGGTTATTAGTAAATCTTAATAGCATCAATTTTATTACTTCAAATTTCTCTCACATCACTGTCATTGGTGGGGAAAAAAACTCTGGCAAAGATACACTATTTTACAATACATTGCAAGCACAGCAACATTGGAGCCCTCAGTCATAGAATAATAAAGACATTGTTTCCAACTCAGAACTGACCAGGAATGATCTGGGAAAATGAAACCTATCTAATTGGCTGCTTTTCCTGGAGAGAGGAGAGGAAAATGAAACCTACCCCATTGGTTCCCTTCCTTCACTGGGTGTGTCTTCAACCAGAGTGGATTTTTCAGGCCAGGAAGAGCAGGAAACCTCTATTTCCAGAGTCTTCAGGAAATCTTCACTGAGCAAGGCCAGGAAAGAAACAGCTCCTTCTTGACAGCCTAGCCTTAGGTGGTGAAGGTCCTCAGAGGCTGAGGGGAGGGCAGTAGACAGTCCCTCTCTGGCTCTCCTTTACTTCTCATAAAGGCACCCATCATCAAAGCTGTGTGCCTAGAAGGGAGGGACCGGGGTCCCCACTTGTCTCCCTAGGCTACAGGGTAGGTGAAGTGAGCTGTAAATGTTCGGAGAATCAGTCAGAATCTGCCATTATTGTAAGCAGCTGTACCTGGCTGGCTTAGAGCCTAATAATATCTTTACCATGGAGCTGCCAGCCCTGGAGGAAATCACTCATTCTGTCTAAAATGGCTCCCCATTCCCCAACAGGGACAGGATCTTACACCCCAAGCCTGGGGCCAGGCCTACTGCTGCCACCAACTGAACAGCCTCTCTGTTCATCATGGAGCCCCTCAGAGTTTTCAGGTTGGTTGGTGGAAATCTACCTCTAGGTCCGCAGTCGCCTCATCAAAGCTCCACTTCTTTTCACAGGTTTGGTTCGTGTTTGGAACCTTTACTGGGCTTCATGGCATTGTCCGGAACTGGCACACTGGTTGCTTCCCTTGTCTCCAAGATGACAGCTTCAGCGGCCATGGTCAAAGCTGGAGGGGCAGCGTCTAGCACCATTCTAGCTGGCTCACAGGGTGAGTGTCCATGGAAGGGTCAAGAGTGGGCAGCACCCTGACCTCAAAGCTGCCTATTGTCACAAGGCCATGGTCCTGGGTTCTGAGTCTCTAAAAACTCAGACCTATGTGTTTCATAAGGTCCTCCTTGAGATCTCTGTCCCCTGGGGTCTGATTCATTCTTTGGATTCACCACCAATTTCCAGCCTTCGGTGTCAATGTGTGTGTGTGTGTGTGTGTGTGTGTGTTTCTGAAGAGAAGTTTTTATCATTTGCATGGCTCTTAGTTCTCAATGGGTAACAGTGGTTCATCCCATTGCATTTTTCACACTAAGACTGAGGCTCTTATGAATCCACCAGTGTCCCTAGAAAGAACCCAGAAGACCTAGACTACCAAATCTGCACCCAATCTTCTGGGAAGCTATGTTCTTTTCCATCTGTCTTCTAGAGCAAACATGCTCAGGGGTTTCTCTAGCCCCTGCAGAAGGCATTTGATGGGGGATGGGTTTCTGACCCCTCCCTGACCTGTGACTTTCTCCCACCAGGGCTCAACCTGTTATCCCAGACTGTCCTGGGCTCTGGAGCACCTGCACTTGGATCTGCCCTGGGAGCACTGAAGACTGGCACCTTTTTCTCGGGGTGCTCTGCCTCTGTCTTGGCTCTTGGTCCCACTGGAGGTAACTGGCCCTGCAAAGCACACACTCCTCCTTGGGCCCCAGTTCTGCATGGAGAACTCTGACAAAGCTGTATCTTTAATTCCTTCTGTTGGTCTGGAATGCAGATGGTTAGGCAATCCAGAAGAGGATAACCTAAGATTGTTAGGATTTTATTTAGTAGAATCTTGTTGCATGCATTCACATCTTAAGTGCTAGCCTGTTACATTGGCAAGTTTCTTGACTTATTCTAATGGCCTTAGAGGAAGGTAACATTGTCTCTCTCCCTTTTTTGGAGATGGGTTTCACTCTGTAACCCAGGCTAGCTCAGAGGGCAATATGTATGCAGCCCAAGATGATTGACCTTAAGCTTGTGACAGTCTTTCTGCCAGATTCCTGGGTGCTGGAATTATTGGCATGAGTCACCATGCCTGTCAGTATTATTCCTTATTTGCCAGTGGAGACGGTTATGTGGAGGCCCTGGGCAGGAAGGATCGTAGGGCTTTTCTTTCTGCCAGGGACAGTAAATAGAAAGAAATTCAGAGCTGTGCAAACAACAGGGGTGTGGGAATGGTGATGCAAAGAGGCGAGGGCTGAAGTTCTAACCACGCCCAAAAGCTTAGGCTATTCCTGTGGCCATCAGTTGAGCCCAGTGTGCTGGCAATCACACAGTTAAGACCCCTTTTGGGGAGAGGGCCTTCCTGTCTCATGACCCAGGTACAACAAGTAGCTAGACAGCCTGACAACCTACTCCCCTGCTTGCCAGTTCAAGTGAGCAGCAAATGCCTTCCAACGACATTCTCGAATCTCTGGGTCCACATCCCCTCCAGAAAGCCCCTCTGACCACCCATCACCTGACTGGTGCAAGTCTAGCTTTCATTCCCCAACCTTTCACCCCCAGGCCAGTGGAAAACTAACTAAGTTCTCCAGGTTACCTTTGTACTCTTGGCCCTGCTAGCTTCAGAGTTTTCAATCCTGCCCCGATGGCCACAGCAGATCAGATCCTACATGCTGCCTGTGGGCTCACAGTGCTGGGAACAGAGCTCAGTATGGTAGGCTCCATGTCTAAAGGAAGGAGTTCTGTTCAGGAGAATCTGGGAAGGCTTCCTGGAGGAGTGAACCATGATGTGGAGCCTCAGGTCATCTAAGCATGCCGCTCAAGTAGCATTCAGATAACACGTTTGTGTCACGGGTGCTTGACCTGGCTGCCAGCAGACCCCACCACAAAGCACCTCTCTTCACCTGCAGACTTACTGCCTCCTGTGGGGTGCCAAAGAGAGTGTCTGATAGTCTGCACTGGCAAACCCTGACCCTACTTCAAACCAATCAGTAGCCCTGTCCTGAGGGGAAGAACCCATCGTGGTAGCTATTGTGGTCTGAATGAGAATGGAACCCAAAGGTTTGTGTATTTGAATGTCTAGGCCCTAGTTGGTGGAAGTGTTTTGGGAAGGATTAGGAGGTGTGGCCTTGTTGTCTCCGGGGGTGGGCTTCGAAGTTTCAAAAGCATCATGACTGCCTACCTGCTGCCATGCCCCCTGCCACAATGGTGGCTTGTCCCGATGTCAGTCAGGCCGGGAGCCCTCAATTCCAGTGCCATTACTCTGTGTTCACTGAGAGAGGCTACACACATTGTTTCTGCCTATACCCAGCTAGTAGTTCTAAGTAAGCTAAGGACTGGTGTTCTGTTTTTCTTTTTTCATGGAAGCCAGGGCAGTCACTGTACTACCAGCCTGTGTCCCCAGTTTCTGCTTTTTGCTTTGTTTTGTTTTATTTTGTTTTGTTTGAACCAAACCTGATTTTGGGTCAGGGGAAGATAAGAAAAGTAACTTCAGACTTCCTTCCCCACATCAGGCAACCAGCAAGCAGGCAGATAAAGGAAGAACAAAACAAGATCCAGAGGCAAGCTGCCAGGACCTGCTCAGGGTCCTCTTTCTTAGGGCAGGGCAGACAGGGATCATTCCTCCATGTGAGCTGGGTGGGGTAGGGAGATATGGCAATCCTCACACAGGATTTTTTTTTTTTTTTTTTTTCCTTTTCAGTCAAGGCTGCTGTTGCTCTGCTTGGGGGAGGTAAGTTTCTTCAGGGTGTATGTCCACAAGTCCACTCCTACTCCTGCCTGTAAGCAGGGAGCCAGGAAACAGCCCATCTCATTCCAGTAGGTTTCCGTAGAGGCGGTGGGGCCAAGATGGAGACGGGATAAAAGAAGTGGCTAGAAAGAAGGAACTAGAAACAAGGAAGGAGTGTAGTGTAGACACACGAGAGGCCACATCTTCAGCAGGTACCACCACCTCCTTTGAGAGTGGTCACTCGTGGCCTGTATTTAAACTCCTCTGAGCTCCTAATTATTTCCTTGAAAAAAATGGACCCTGGAGCCCAATTAGCATTTTCCACAGGGGTGGGGCAAGCACAGAGTGGGATGTGCTGGGCAGACCGTGTGTGGGCACCACCAGCTTGGTGGCTTTTGACATGCTCACTGGAGACAGAGCAGGGCTCTGGGATGCCTCCTCCATCCACTCTAGTTGGGCTCTACTTTTATCCATCTCCAGGGCAAGCTGTGCCCCTGTGTAAGTAAACACTTACTTTGGGCCATCCCAGCGTTAGACCAAGAGAGACACCAAGGCCCCAGCATGCAACTTTCCTGAAAGGTGTTGCTGGCAGTTAAAGCCAGCCCAGCTCCATCTTCAATGACAAACACTCTCTTCCTATGCTCCTTCAGTCTTGCCTCCTGGCTCTCTAGCTCAGAGCCTGCCTCCTGTCTCACCTTCCATCTTTGTTCTCTAGGCTTCTCCTGAGAGAGGAGTTGCAGGGCAAAGGAAAAGCCCTGGTCCAGTCTGCACCACTAATTTTCTCCTCCAGACCTCAGAAAGTCTTCCAGGCACGATCCAGTGTGTTTGGGAGGGTCTCTTTTTCCCAAGCTCACCTGATGCAGCTCCTCTTCCCACAGCCATGACTGTAGCTGCTGTGCCTCCCCTGCTGAGTGCTGTGGGCTTCACTTCCTCAGGAATTGCAGCCTCCTCTCTGGCAGCTAAGATTATGTCCTTGTCAGCTATTGCTAACGGGGGCGGAGTCCCGGCTGGTGGCCTGGTGGCCATTCTTCAGTCAGCAGGTAAATGTTGTGTCAGGAGGCTGAGAGGGAAGGCAAGATACAGGCCAGGTTCTCACTTTCTGCTTTACCTTTTTTCTGGGTTTTACCAGAGGAGGTAGAGGAGGGGAGGATGGCAGGCCAGTTTACCTGGAGTTCAAACTTCTACCTCAGGTCTAGCTTTCTTTCCTGCAGAGGGGATCGTCATCCAGCTGGATTCTACCCTAGAGTTTGTGCATGGAGTTTTGCCTGCAAAAGTTTGGGAAAAGGGGGGATGGTGTGGGGATCCTGTGCCTCAGACCATCTTGAATGACCCTGGTAACTATGACTCTCCCACAGTTTCATCTCGTCTCATATTTCATCCTTTGTTTCTTTCCCAGGAGCTGTTGGACTCACCATGTCATCTAAAGTCCTTGTGGGCTCTGCAGGATCTGCCTTTGTGGCCAGGGTGATGGGGCATCTGTGAGAATTCCTGCCCCTCTTTCCCCAGAGAAGCGGACATGGAAACAGGTGGCACAGCCCAACTTGGCCAACCCAGAGAAGAAGGGTTAGCCCTAGGGGAACAGTCTGTCAACACGGAATGCCTAAGGGAAATAAGAAAGAAATAAATAAAAACCAAGTTGTTGCCAGTTTGATTGTTGCCTTCCTGTGTGCTGTTTGCATGGTAAAGGTTGGCCAGGGACCTGACCTCTCTACTACTGGGGCTTAGGGTGGGTTTGGCTCAACTTTTTTGTTTATTTGTTTTGCAACTTATTGATTGATTGATTGATTGATTACAATTTATTCCCTTTGTATTCCCGATGTCGCCCTCTCCCTTGTCTCTTCCTAGTCCCATCCACTCTCTCCCTTCTCCCCCATGCCCTTTCCCTACTCCGCTGATAGAGGAGAATGTCTGCCCCCCCACCCCTGGCCTTCTATCTTACCCTAGCCTATCAGGTCTCATCAGGACCATGCATGGAGAGGATGTAGACCCCCTGCTCAGAGGAAGTCCATAGGCTGCTCAGGCTCCAAGTGGGTTCCCTAGCAAGGGGGGCAGGGGTTGTCCCTGACAGCCATTAGGCTCAACTTCTTGTCCCACCATCTTGTCACAGCCAGATGCTGTAGGTATGTGCTCAACTGGGCTGAATCTAAATATGAAAACAGAAGCTGCCCTTTGCCCTGCTACTGCTCCCTGAACTCTGAGCTGGTCACCTCCTCCATATTGCCCCTCCATAAATGAGGAGTTGACCTAAATGACTTCTCAGATCCCAGTGGTGATGACGGTAGGGAGCTGGCTCAGTCCCTTGGCATCCTGCTTTGAGCCACTCCTCCCAAAGCCAGAGCCTGGTTTGTATTGATACCACCCTCTCCACTATGTATCTAGTGATTTTTTTTTTTTTTTCTGGTGGTCTGGATCAAAACCTTTTGTCTGAGCCAGATCATCCTAAGAAAACCAAAACCTTGTCTGTTCTCTCAGTCCCATAGCCCCACTAGAGGAAATTGACTTTTCCCCTCTGTGTCATCCAGCACAGTACTTGGCCATGCTTGGGGAGGGGAAAATAGTTTATTAGTCATGCTAGTTGTGGGAGAAGAGGTAGTCTCTTCCACCTTGGGCCCTCTATTCCCTCACACATGCAGAATGGCTCTAGCTCTGGAGGTTCTAGGGGGAACTTTCCTGGGACAGAGGCAGTCTTTATCATCCCTGTGAGAGATTCACGGACATTGTCCAAGCTCACAAAGGTTTCCCCTTCTCTGCTTTCATGATTCCTGTCTCCATTTCAAGAAGTGATCTCTATAATTGGAAAATTTAAAAACCACCATTCTCTGGAAAGCCTCAGGCCCTCATTGTCTCCTTGAGACAGTTTTTTTTAATACACCTCAGGGGACCTGAAATGACAGCTCCTGGCCACCAACCACCTAGCAGAGGATCACAGTCAGACAGTGCAGCCCTGTTAGCATGGATTTCTTCTTCTGTCTGACCTGACTGGGACTCTGACACTGCCCAAGGTGAGGAGGCTCTGAACAATTTTTGCCAGGCCCTTTTACAAGGATAGGAAGCAACTGCTAGGAAAATCCCCTATGGTGAAAGACAGTACAAGAATTCAAGAGACTACAAGACTCAAGAATCACCTTCTGGGTTCCCAGAGTGCCTCTGTGAGTCTTATCTAATGTTTTCTCCCACAAACCCAGGCACACCAGAAAATCAGCGAGCCAACAATATTGTTTTTGCCTTGTAGTCATCCACAGATATTAGAAAGACACTGTAGGTTAGAAGGGTTTGGAGATATGAATGAGTCCCAATGATTGGAGATGGCTCAAAGGGTTTACAAAACCAACTTGTAGGAGAAAAAAAAAAATAATGCAGAACAAAAGATTGACCTGAGTAGCACTTAGGGAGACGATAAAAGAAGTCCCAGAAGGGGAAGTCTGAGACACTGGGAAAGGAAGAGGGTAGAAGGATGTCCTGTCCTATGTAAATGATTGCAAATTGGGGGAGGGCCCTAACCTAGGTGTTGGGACCCTAGAAGAGTCCAGTGGCCCTATCTGTCTGAAAGACTTGATCCTATTTTTATCAGTTGGCCACTGCAGCTATGCTAATAAAAGAAGATGACAAAGTGACTCTGGGTCAGGAGCTATTCCTAACCACCACATACTCTGTTGAAGCCCTCTTGAGGTGGGGTTGTGGAGGGTGCTAGGGAACTGGGTATCCAACGCCTGAATACTATATTATCAAGCATTTCTCTATATCCGGTTCTATGAAGCTTGAGCTAGCAACCCAGGCAACCTGCTGCCAGACAGTAACCCAAACAGAACCTCTCCTTGATTGCCTGGAAGTGACTGAGATACAGCCTAACCCAGAAGATCTGACCTAGCAGATGCCCACACGCAACCTTATCCCATTCTGTGTGCTCCCCCAATAGACTTCTGCATGCCTTTCCATGTCCCATCCATTTGCCCCTCTTCCAGAAAGGCTTTCAGATTTTTCACAAGAGATCAGATCCCTGCCCCTCTGTTTCGTGAATGTGCCTGCTACCTGTCACTGCAGTGAACAGTATCTTGTGTCCCAATTGTTTTATAAATGCCAGGATCCTCCTGCCTCGGAGACCTCTGGGTGTCAGTGTGGGCTCTGTCCAGCACTGCATTATGCGCTACGTGGGCATTGCATGAGGGTGTGGTCAGGGACCCGGAACATAAGGCAGGAGTTTTAGCCTCCTTTTCATTGTTACAGACATTATAAATGGTGGTGACTGATTTTTTATTCCACCTCCTTCCTGAGGTACCAGCACTTTAGCTTACCCAGGGGCATTCCTGGTAATTTCCTGTCTTAGCCTCTCAGCAGTACAGTGGGGAAGCTATAGGTTGCTAGCTCTGGATATCCAGAACCATTGATGAGGAAGGACCAACAGCTCTGGGATCAGTGGTTTGGCTAGCTCTCACCTTTACCTTGTGACAGAAACCTCTGTCAACCCAACTTAAAGGTCCCCCAAAGCCTCCATGTCACACAGACCATTGCCACTAAGGCAGGGACTACCTTAAGTGTTCTGCCTACTGACTGTGTGCTGGCCAGCCTGTCACCTCCCTCTGATCTCCAGTCTGAGGCTGGCTGGGGAAACCTGAAGATCTGAAATGCTCAGTCCACAACTCCATTCAAAGAGCCACCACAAGCGAAGATAGGCATGCCAGCAGATAACCTTTATTTTTTTTTTCTCTTTCTCTGACTCCAGTGAGGGTTCTTTTTTTGGGGGGGAGGGGAGAGGTTCGTCTTGGTAGATTGTCTCCTGGATAGACTTTGGGTTCTGCTGGTAGAGGTGTCATCTCCTAAGTTCAAAACAAGGCTCCTAAGATTGCCCCAGCAGTGCCCAGGATGATGTTGGATGATGTAGAGAGTCCAGCGGCCCCTGGGAAGGAGACAGTGCAGTGACAGGGAATGGCCTGAGGCTTAGAGATGGCCCCTTCCTTTTTGTCTGAACCCAGGGCCCCTGCTTTAGACAGAGATATTCAAAGTGGACTAAAAGGAGAAGACAGATCTGGGCAAACTGAGATATGGGAAGGAGAGCTATCCAGAGAGGAATGTCCTCTCTACATAGCAGGACAGAGGGGGACATGCTGGAGGACACCCAGGGCCTGGATAGCATGCATCTTGGACCAGGGCTCCTCATACTTCTGCCATCCAGCACCTCTCACCCCTGCACTATACCCCAACCTTCCTGAGAATGAACCAGAAAGTAGGGGCAGAGCTAGAAGACATGTCATAGTAGAAGGTGGGACTGTGAAGAGAGGAAGGGAGATACCTTCTTTGGCTTGGTCTTCAGTCATCTTGTCTGGCCTGACACTTACCCACTGATTGGAATGTAGCTACCAGGCTTCCTGCTGCAACACCACCTCCATTGGCGATTGCTGATGCAGACATCATCTTGGCTGCTATGGATGAGGCCGCAATTCCTGCCCCAGTGAAGCCCATAGCACTCAGGGCTACAGGTGCAGCTGTCAAGGCCAAAACTGTGGGGAGAGGAACTGTGTGGGGTGGGCTCAGGGAAAAGACCCACCCAGGAATCTCTTGAATGTTTCTGAGGTCCTTCTATTCTGGGTAGCATTGAAAGTGGTCCCAAGGTAAAGAAGGCTAGGGAAGGGAGCCAGGTGGAGGCAAAGAGGACAGTGAAGAGACAGAGCCATAGGCTTGCCAGGCTGTGTGACACTCGAGACGACATCACCCTTCCCTGGGGTTCGGGTTTGTGAGGGGTAAAATTAACCACTGTGGGTTTTCAGCAACTGCCCCTCCCCCTTTCAACCAATTCTCTACTTGCTGCTCATCATGCCTGGAGGAGCAACTGAGCAGGAAACCTTAAGTTCATCCCTGGTGCAGTGAGCACATCTTTGGTCCCTGCTCTTCACCCAGGCTGCTCCAGAATGCAGCGGAAGGCAGGTGCCAGAGCAGCTCCCACGTCAGAACACAAACACCCTCTGCCTCACCGCAGGCACAAGAAACAAACCTCCTCCTATCACAGCACCTAGGGAGAGATGGTTTGGTAGAGAAGGTTAGTTGTTGGATGGCAGCAAGTTCTTGGCGGGTTTGGATCAGGGAGCCCAGTTTCCAACCCACCCCCAAGGGGGCTACTAACCCAACATGGTGAGATGTCCTGGTAGCAGGTAAGCTTAAGTAGCGACTTGAATCGGAGGAGGGACTTGCTCAGGGACTGGTAGCTGGGTAGCTTAGGCAGCGACTTAAAGCTGAGGAGAGGAGAGACTCTTGTTAGGGAACCAATAGGAGGTAATGGCCCTCCCCTTGCAGTGAGTCAGCCTCCTGTTGGAGGTTGGAAAGCTAAGGAAAATTAGACACCCACTCTCCACCCATCTGCTTACTGTCTGGACTGTTGCCACACACACACACACACACACACCACATGAGAGGGGGGAGGGAGGCGAGAGGAAAGAAGACACAGGGAAAGAGGAAGGAAGAGGAGGAGGAGGAGAAAGCCATTTTGCTGCTAAATCTCAACGGAAAGGAACAACACACACATACAAACACAAACTCAGCAAGTATGTGGACACAACAATCACTATTTTCACCTGAAAGAGGATGAGTAGAGCCATGGCTGGATGACCAGATAAGGTTATCCAAAATATCTTCTTCCCACACAGTAACAGTTTTGATGAA